GGCCGCTCTGCCCTGCCCTCCCCTGCTACGACAGCGGAAGCGGAAGCGCTGCCTCGGCTTAGCGTGGGGTTGCCGACGTTATTAGGTAGGGCCCTTAGCTACCGAAGAAGAGTGCGACCTCCCCGTTTCTCCCCTCCCCCCTGCCTGCGAGGGGCCGAGCCTGGGGCCGGCAGTGCCCCGTGGTCGCGGCTGCCGCCCCTCTCTGGGCTCCGGTGTGGGGCCCGCCGGAAACCTCGGGGGTGTTTCCCTACCGCTGCTGGCACAGGGGGGTTGCCCTGGCGCTGGCAGAGCAGGGAGCAGTGGTCCCGAGGGGCAGCGAGGGAAGTTTAGGTAGGGTGTGAGGAGGAGCTGTCTTGTCTCTCTTAAACCGTAGGATTGATGTATGTATTTCGTAGGTATCTAGGTCCTAGGAATAACTCTAGTATGAGGAGGGTAGTGAAGCACTGGAACAGGTGACCCGGAGAGGTTGAGGACTCTCCATCCTTGGAGGTTTTTAAGGTCCAGCTCGACAAAGCCTTGGCTGGGATGGCCAAGTTGGGGCTGGTCCTGCTTTGAACAAAGGGGTGGATTAGATGACCTCCTGAGGTCCCTTCCAACTCTATTTTCTAGGATTCTCCCTAACCATGCTGACACTGTGCACCGCCCCCTGGGGGGGCTCTCAAAGTGCCCAGAAGTGGGGACAGCCGGTTTGAAACATTGCTGCTTCATGCAATGGATGCACTAATGCTTTGTGTTATGTAAGAGGGGGGCTGCCTGCCATTGAGAGAAAGTCAGTAGTATTTTGCTACTGGGTTGCCGCTGAGCCACAGCCCTGGAGAGCCGTACGCAGCTGTGTGTGGGCACGCGCAGCTTGGAGCACCCCAACCTGAAAAAAGCAGATTCAGGCCGTACCCATTGGGCACCTATACACCTGCAGCAAGGCTGCTCCGACATGCTGTAATTCAGGGGTGGGCAAAATGTGGGCCGGGTGCAGCCTGCCAGGCCGTTCTATCCGGCCTGCGGAGCCCCAAAAAAATGTATCTGCTCTGGGCTGCCTGTCATGCGACCCTTGATGGCTTGCCAAATCTCAGTAAGCGACCCTCCACCCGAAGTAATTGCCTGCCCCTGCTGTAACTACAATGCGTCAGAGCAGACTTGATTGAGTCTGCTGGAGCATGGTCATTACTCTAATGACTCTAGTACATCCAGTGTGGTATATTAAACTGTCAAGTGTTAGTGACCATGAGCCTGATTCCCCAACACCGGGGCTGAGATTAGGGGTTGCAGGAAAAAGCCTAGATAGTTTTGCTAGAATAGACCGTTTTCCTTTTCTACCAAGCCAGCGATGCTATAGGAGTTTTGCATAAATGTGGAGAGCAAGATCCAGTTACTCCAGTCTATCCTGTCCACTTGACACATGAAAGCGGACAGGGTAGAGCCTGACCATAAGCCTCCAGTAACTACCATGCTCTAGCATCCTCCTGCATCTCGTGTATCAGTGTCTTTGCACTTAAAAATGGTGGTAGGGACACTTTATCTAAGGCTTGTTCAATGAGCTTTAGATAAAGCATGCCCCCCCTCCCCATCTTTAAGCATGGGGATGCTGATACATGAGATGCTCTGGCTGCTCTAATTAAAGTACCCACTCCCAAAGCACACGTATAAATGCCCATTGTTTTTAGAGGGGCTGTCTGGTACTCAGAATTGGCAGGAAAATGCAGAATCTTTCATCTTTTGGTTGTCCATTCAAGCTCACCTGTGTTATTAGTGAAACTGGAGGACTGTTTGAAGTCGTAAAAACTCATGGTTTGAGCCCCTTTCCAACATCACAGGAAAAAACCCCTCCCTGTTTGACATTATACTGGTATCTGTATCACAAAAAGATGATGCTGTTTGACATGAAGCTGAACACTTTCTGCTGGTTTGCACTGACCGCTACGTTATGGTTGTAATTGTGATGTCTGATTTTATTGTTCACAAGTGCATACAGACATGATCCAATTTTGATGTGGACAAGCCCAAATTGGCACACGTGTCAGTCTCAGGAGGGAGGTTGAGTGAAAAGGACTGGAGGCTGAGCTATCTTCTTGCCTAGAGGTGCATGTAGGACCATAGTTACAAGTTTGTCAAAGGGCTGGGGCAATGCTGGGGCAACTTTCGGTGCTGATTTAGCTTAGGCTGTTCTGTGGTTTAAAAGAGTCTTTTAATCTCTAGTACTACCTGTTTCAACTGCTCTAGTATAATGGCACAAAAAGTTAATGCTTTAATACTGTTTTGAATGCTTTGAACATGCTTGTGGGACATGCTAAATTCTGTAGCCTGTCTATGCTAGAGCTCTTGCAGTTGTTTCTATTGATAAGATTCAGCTAGTGCTAGCAGTTGTGGGACACTTTCTGAAAATTTTTTGCGGTGTAGATGGGCCTTAGTAATTAAACAAAAGAATGTTTCAGGTATAGACGCATCCAATAATACTGGGAAATATTTCCATAAGTGTGTGATTACTTAGCTGTTAAATTGTTCAGTGCAACTTTTTTACTTCTTTTGGTGAGGAATGAATCTGAGCAGATCATAGGCAACTATTTTTCGGACCTATTGCTTTTCTACAGAAGCAGTTTAAATTACCTTTAAAGAGCCAGTAGTGACCTATCAGAGGGGTACTCAGCCCTACCCTGCGGGTCAGATAGGGTACCATATCATCTGTCCTGTGGGGTGCCCCAAGGCCCCTTGGACCATGGCTCTGTGTGGTAGATAGAGCATGCAGGGTGTCATAGGCCCAATCCCAGCGCACAGGGCTGGGCAGAGACAACACAGCCTTTTGTTAGGGTGGGCTAACAAAAACAGGATGCGTTTCAATACGGACAAGTGCAGGGTGCTGCATTTGGGCAGTAGTAACCAGCAGCACACTTATAAGATGGGAAACTCCCTTCTTGAGAGCACGAAGGCAGAAAGGGATCTTGGAGTCATTATTGACTCCAAGATGAACATGGGCCAACAATGCGAGGTCACGGTCGGCAGGGCTAACCGGACCTTATCGTGCATCCACAGGTGCATCTCAAGTAGGGCCAAGGAGGTGATCCTCCCCCTCTACACAACACTGGTCAGGCCATAGCTGGAGTAGTGTGTCCAGTTCTGGGCACTCCACTTCAAGAGGGATGTGGACAACATTAGAGGGTCCAGAGAAGGACCACCCGCATGATCTGGGGACAGCAGGGCAGACCCTACAATGAGAAGCTATGGGACCTGAACCTGTTCAGCCTTCACAAGAAAAGGCTGAGGGGGGACCTTGTGACTGTCTATAAACTCACTAGGGGGGACCAGAAGGGTTTGGGGGGACCTTGTTTCCCCTAGCGCCCCCCGAGATAACAAGGAATAACGTCCACAAGTTGTTGGAGAGTAGGTTTAGATTAGACATCCTTAAGAACTACTTCACAGTTAGGGCGGCTAGGATCTGGAACCAACTTCCAAGGGAAGTGGTGCTGGCTCCTACCCTGGGGGTCTTTAAGAAGCGGTTTGATGCCTACCTGGCTGGGGTCATTTGAGCCCAGTTTTCCTCCTGCCCAGGCAGGGGGTCGGACTTGAAGATCTACAAGGTCCCTTCCAACCCTACTTCTATGATTCTATGAACACAGGGGGCCCCTGGATCCTGATTCCAGCACACAGAGCTGGGTTGGGGTGTCACACAGGGGCAGCAGGGTGCCCAATCTGGCCCTGGGCCATTCATCTGGTTTGCAGGGCCAAAACCTTGAGCACCACTTGTCTGTTATACACAGGATGACCTCAGACTGCTCACAACAGTAGTGTAGCGGTTGGGAGGCTGCTTTCCCTTCATATGTGCATCCATAGCTGGGTCTCCAAGGAACATGATAAAGGGTTTCTGGAAAAGAATTCCTGGTGTGATTGCATGTGCCAGTATTCCAGGCATCCGCTGGAGGAAAATGTCCTACTGTGACAAACTGCTAGAATCTGATGGTTACCCACATAGTTCTGGAAACAGTATTTGTGGAGGAAGTAATGCTGTGCTTTATATACCTGTGCAGCAATGAAGATTAATACTTGCACAAGTGCAGCTTTCTAGTTATAAAAAAAGTAGTATTGACAGACATTTCACATCATGCTAAAAAGAATGTTTAGGAGCTACATATGAAAGGTGCTATTATTTAAAGTTCTGAGGAAGAAAAAAAACTACACAAACACCTTTCAGAGTTGTAAATCCATAATACTGTTTTTATTCTGGTCTTTCTTTTTGTATACAAGAGTCAAATATATTGTAATGTAACACTCCTGAGGTAGTTTGTAATTCAAAATGTGAGAAATCAGCAGTGTGAAGGATAGAAAAAACTTGTACCTGCTTAATTAAAACATTCAGTGAATTTCTTCACTGTTTGGGTGAGAAATGAGGGGGCCATTTTGAATAAAGTCAAAGTAAATCTCCCCCTCCACTCCCAACCAAAACCAGTCTTGTTTTGCTGCATTAAAAAAATCAGTACTGATTTTTTATAATGGAGAGTCTTTTGATGTAAACCATATTTGTATTGGTAGAAAAAAATAGCTAGCATGAAAGCTGTGCAAATCATCTAACGTGAACTAGGATTTCTGTAAATGCAACTTGGAGGCAGGTGGAGGTCTAAGTTTTGTTCTTTTTCTCATATTTATTTTCACAACCTATAAATTGCTTTCTTTTCCATGCTTTTAAATACCACTGCCAGAAAACTTGTGGATATTGCTGTGTGTGGCAATTTTTAATATAGAAAAAAATGAATAACCCCTTCCTTTTATTTATTCAGATGCCAGCCATTTTATACCATTTTAAATTTAGATCAGTTGATTCAAAATGAGCATGTTTGATAGTGACCTGTAAAATGTTTGTCCTGTTAAAAATCATTGTAGCTAACCGCACAAACAAGTTTCTGTTTATTTAAATGTGTTTTCATCTTTACCTTTTAAGTTTTAAAACTTTATAATAAAATGAATGAAATTTCAAATCTAAAATGTGACTATCACAGCTAAAATTACTATGTAGACACTTAATAGTTCTTGATCCTGCAAGTGCATTCCTAGTAATGAACTAGTGACTATTCTGGAGCTTCAAATAGGCATGTGGGTACAGTACTCACATGGACCTGTTTGTTAGATCAAGGCCAAAGTTACTGGGCGCTTGTTCCCACCAATTCCTGAGCCTTGTGAGTGCTCTCTTCTTGAGAATCTAGTCATTAGTCTATGTTGCAGTCTTAAGCAAAGGAGATACTACACACTTTTTGCTGTCAACTGTGAGTAGTTGAAATAGACATGGTCAATTTTCTTTATATTTTGAATGTTTATATTAAAAATAAATGTTAGCTGTGGGTTGGTTTTCAAGGTAATATTTCCAACAAGGTAGCCCTTTGCCCTGACACACTGATAGCAAAAGGTGGAAAGCAAAGTACTTAATGAAGACGGCTAGATGTTGTCTTAGGTTTATAGCTGGCAAAACAGGTTCAGAGGGGCGAAGAGCCAAGATGTTACTGTCTTTAGTTACACTAGAAACAGAACCCAGTTATCATGATTCCCTATTTCGTTCATCTGTTTGTTGACCATCATTACTTGTGCTTTACAATACTTGTTTGATTTTTCATTTTTCAGATCTCTGAGACAATTTGTTGTACAAAGAAGCCAACTATGGGCATTAAAGGCCTTCATGGATTTGTGGCAAATGTTTGCCATGATGTGCACAAAATGGTAAATCTGAAGGAAATGGCAGAAGAACATCGCATGAGTTATCCTGACTCTCCTCCCGTAATTGTGGTAGATGCCCTGAGTTGTATACGACGCTGGTATACACCAGAATCTTGGGTTTGTGGTGGCCAGTGGCAAGAGTACCTTGCTAATTTAGAGGATTTTATTAATGCTTTCACAGCAGCTGATATCAAGCTGGTATTCTTCTTTGATGGTGTTGTGGAGCAGAAAAAGAGAGGTGAATGGGTTAAACGGAGGTTGAAGAATAACAAGGAAATAGGCAGAATCTTTCAGTTCATCAAGACGTACAGGCAGCAACCAGGGAGAGGGATGTTCTTTATTCCTTCTGGTTTGGCTACTTTCACACGCTTTGCCTTAAAGTCCCTTGGTCAGAAAACAATATGTTCATTGCAAGAAGCAGACTATGAAGTGGCCTCTTATGGGCTGCAGCATAATTGCATGGGGATTCTTGGACAAGATACAGACTACCTCATCTATAACACCTCTCCATACTTCTCCATTGAAAAGCTCTGCTTGGACAAGATGGTCACTGTTATGTATTCCAGGGAGAACCTCTGCCGTGCACTAAATCTTAATATAACAGACCTCCCTTTTTTTGCTTGTCTGCTTGGCAATGATGTAGTTCCAGAAGCTGCTTTGGAAGGTTTTTGGCATAAATGTTTAACCTCTTGTCCTCCTAAAAGCCAGAGCTATGACAAAAGGTCTAACATAATTCTGGCTGTAGCAAACTACATATCAGGACTTCCACGTTCATACAGTAGTGTGAAAAACTTTGAAGAGATGCTACCTTTGGGATCAGACAAGACATTACTGTGCAAGGCAATGGAGTCCTATATCCTGCCTGGTCAGCAGTCTCCCTGGCTTCCTCCCTCTCTATCAAATTCCCAAGCGCACTCAGCCAAGCAGGACACAGGCATGTGCTCAGATCAGGAGATATTTCAGGTATTTGGGTTTTTGAAAAACCTAATCACATTCTTGTTCAAAATGTCTCTGTTAATAATTCCTTGATAATGAATAGGCTCAGAACATTTTTTGTGTGTAAAATGTTTTCCCTCCCAGATAAACCAAATCCTAAAATGATGGTTTTTTTACATGCAACTTGATTTCAGGATCTAATGAATGAACCATTCATGTCTTTTGATAATTATAAATAATTTAGATATTTGCCCAGTCTCATAGTTTCGGTACTATATTTTCATGACCTATTTAGCTTGTATAACAGTGGTAAATCTGGAATACAGTAAGTTAAATTGCTAGTAGTTTGTTAAGAAAAAAAACCCTTGAGATTTAATGCTCATAGTACTTAGTATTTGCTAGGTCTCATAAAGGGGCCTTGTTTTGTTAAGTACCTATAGGCTACAGAAGGAGACAGAACCTGTCTCTTTCTTCTAGCATTTTGATTATTTAACATTATTTCCTTGTTTTGTTATTTAAAATTATATTTTATGTTTACTTTATGATTTCCTGCCTAAAGCATTTACAAACCAAAGTAAAACTTACAAACCTACTCAAGTTTTTCCATCTCTAAAATGCAGTCCCCTCTGAGGTAAAACAGCATCACCACACAGCCATATATAATTTATTGGTCATACCAAAGAAACAGGAGGCATTATACATACTACACAGAAACATGGCATGTAAAATGAAGAATGCTTTTTATAACTTGTGTTCAAAGAATATTTAATTAGGCCCAGTGGTAATTATGAAGGCTGGACTATGGCCAGGACATCAGGGTTAACACCCCTACTATGAAAGACCATACCATGCAATCTTCACGACAAGAAATCATTACCCCTTGGTTTTAACTTTAATTTGAAGGGCTGCAGTTCCCAAACAGTGTGGTGTGATATCATTGTAATAAAATAACATCTAGAAAGCGCAGTTGAGATTGTGTCCCATTGTATTGATTGCTGTATAAATCCAGAAAAATACCATCCCTGTCATAAAGAATTTATTGTCTAATTTGTAGAGGTACAGCTCGTTCATTTTTCTACTACAAGTTATTAAACATTGTCAAAGCAAATACTACACCAAAATTCACATTTTGGAATGCATAGATAATTCTCAATTGTGTTTATAGATTATCTTAACTTCTAACATGTCAGTCTATAAAGCCTAATCACCACCTTGGGTACATTGGATCTCATTGGTGCTTTTCTTGAGAAAATATATGCATATTGTGGCTGCCTGCATATAGAGGGTGGAAACATTTTTTAGTACACCATATTGTACACCATACTGTACACATTTGTTATCTGAAGTTAGTTTGGAGCCCAGCTTCTGATTTGAATTTTCAGTGACTGTAAAATGTGAATTTTTGCAAAATTGTGGCAAAATTGCATTTTCACAAAACTTTTGCACTTAAGCCTATGAAAGTAATAAGGCTAAAACAGATATGTTTGTTCATTTTAATGCATTATATTTTGTACCATCTTCTATTTAATTTTTTAGCATCTGAAAATTGGTTTTTGGAACAACATTTATTTTGTTGAAATAGCAAATATATAAACAATCTACTTAGATCTGCCATTACAGTAAGCTGTGGTGCTGGGTGCTGTTGAGAGATGTTCATTTATTCCATATTTGTTTTGAGAATTCTTTTGAAAGTATGCTGTGTTTCAGTAGTATTGTTGATCCATCATAACCCAAGATTTAATATGGAGCAACTGTAAAAACAAAATCCCTGTTTCCTAGAGGAGCACCAATACATCAGTCCTATATCAGATCGGTACTGATATAAAGAAAACTGTCTGTGTCAGATATCGGTCTGATGGGGCTGATAATTTGGCCAATAAATGCCCGTGCTGCATGCAGCCGCAGTGCAGCGCTCAGGCAGCAAGGAGCACAGCCAGCAGTGTGGAGAGTTGCCTCCAGCTGGTAAATCCGGTGTGGTGGAAGGGGAGGGACTTGGAGGGGGGGAGGAAGATCAACGCTCCCCATGGTGAGGGAGGGGAGAGGGGTAGGTGCTGCCTAGGCAAGACGGGAGAGGCTGGAGCTGCAGCTTGTTGGGGGGAGGTGGCTCCTGCCGCTGTTTGCACCCTGGGAGGGCATGGGTGGTGTGTGCCCCCGGGATTGGGACAGGGCAGGGTGGGCTGTGCAGGGCTCTTGGTGGGCTTAGAGCTGGGCTGGGCTCAGAGTGGGCCCTGGCGGCACTGGGAGGATGCTACATCCATCCCAAATTTAACCGCCACTCTGCTCCCAGCACCACTGCCACCAGCCGCTCAACACAGCCCCAGCTCTTCCCAGCATGTGGATGGAGGCAGTGTGTTGAGCTGGGGCTGCGACTGGCGGTGGTGACGCTGGAAGCGGAGTAGTGGCAAAATTTGGGGTGGATGCAGCATCCTCCCAGCACCGCTGGCACCAGCTCTGAGCCCA